TTGTCAATTTATATCCCAAGGTCAATGTTTGCTAGTTACATGTTATGTAATTTTTTAAACATAAAAAAATGAAGTTATAGAAACTTAATTAAGATTATTAAATATTTACATTTTAAGAAAGTTTTAAAAAATGATCAAATAATAATAACGTACAGGCTGCGGGATTGTAGTGGCCTGGACAATTCCAGCTTGTGGTTTGAGAGTGGCCAGCGCCTCTCTGGCAGCAGTGACTTCTTTAGTCAGCCTAGCAATCACACGACAAGCCGCATCATGCTGATACAAGGCATGAGACAGCTCCTGCCTCGCAGTCTGGAGTTGTTGTCGTAACGTAAATGAATGTAACATAACTGCATCCCATTCATCTTGCATAATTTTCAATATTGCTGGAATAGAAGTCGCACTAGGTGGCTTGGGCTTGACAATTGGAGTCGCTGTAACAGAAGAAAATTTGATAACAAAAATAATTACATAAAAAAAATATACCGTATTAAATAATGAAGTTTAAAAGTACCTTTTATATCAATGAGCTGCTCAATAGTGAGTTCTTTGCCATTAATAGGATCTACCCCATTTTCAGATATATACTTTTCTATGAGACGTCTCTCAAATATTGACCCAGAGGCAGGAGATATCACTGGATGCTCCGGTACCTCATTGGAAACTGAAAATTATAGAAATAATTTATAATTTTTGTTAAATCTCAAGGTAAATTTCATCATGCTAGAATTCAAATATTAATAAACCTTTCTTCCATACAAGTATTGTTAATTGCATACTTGTGCATATAAATTTACACATATATGTATAAACAATACATGTAAACGCTAATAATGATACAATTTACAATCTAACAAATTGGACTGTGCCATCATAAAACTTTCTACTTATAGCAAACCACCTGTTTTATTATTACATATTATAATTACATCATAATTATGTTCATTAATAAAGCGGCAAAGGGTTTTCTAGGTTATGTCCGTCAACTCTGCCGGCACACAAGTCTCTAAACCTCCCAGCATAATGTTGCGTTACAAGTGTCATCCGTGCAAGCTTAAACGTCAGGAGAATCAAAAGGAAAGATAGCTCGATCGTAAATTGCAACTCGTGTTCACGCGAATACTTACTCGCGCAAGATAACGCCATTTTCCTCGTTAATTCAAGACGCCTTCAGAGACGCCTGTCTTCAGTCTTCCTTCCGTCGCCTCGTCAATTTTGAAGCACGGCAGAATGGAAGCCGTTCTCCATTGGCCGATCCGCCGACGCCATGGCCATATCGCTTTTCGGTGCGCAATGCGCATTTCCGGGTGGAAGTTCCGGCGCGCGACGCGCCGCCGGACGGCGCCACCGGCGCCGTTCGCGAGAGTCCGCCCGATGAAGATTTGTTAGTTTGTTGGCCGCCCGCCGTCGGCGTCTGCTGGTCTCGCGCGATGATTAGATTAATTAGGTCGTACGGTTAGGATTTCGTCTAGTTTGTAGGGATCGACTGAGTTATCGCTTGATTATTATGGCTTCCTTGGTCGCGGATTACGGGACCTCCTCCGGCTCGGACGGCGAGACGGACGACGACGTTTCGGACAATGCGTAAGTTTGGGCCGTTGCGTAAAACCGTCCCCGCCCCTCCGGATTGCTTCCGTCAACCTCCTGGGTTTGTTTTCTCTCCCCTTTTTTTTATTTTCGCACCGATCCCGCGCCAGTTTGATCTTCCTCCTCGCGAGATGCACGACCGCGCTTGCGAACATCTCTGCAAGCTCCAACGGAGCTTGCGGGAATCCGTCGATTTGCAAGACGCAAGACATCGTGTTTGACACTAAGGGGAAGACAATCGCATTTTTCAATACTTATTAATAACATTAAATTGGAAAAAAGGATACATTTTTTTTGCCAAGCACTCGTTTAAGTTCAACAACCGGTTTATACGTACAGAATGCGGCTTGTTCTTTGTAATCTGATATTGCCTCACCGTTAGCTTCAAGGGTGCGGAGCAGGTGGAGTCGGAGGGAGAGGAGGACGAGGAGGCAGAGGATAATGAGGAGGAGAACAGCAGGAGTAACGGTGGACACGTGAGAATAACTGAAACGACAGCTTCCAAAGACAAGCTTCCATTGCCGACGCCAGATTTCAACAGCGCGCCCACGTTAATGAGGACCTCGGTATTCCTGAATCCGTTCGTCGAAGCGGAACGGGCGAAGAGCGCGATCCTGGAGAAGCACGTGAAGATGACGCCCACGCTGGACGACACGAAGATGATAAACGGCCGCAAGATCTGCTGGAACTATCGGAAGGGTCGTTGCCGCTTCGGCCACAACTGTACTTTCGCCCACGACTCGGATCTGCATCGCAGCGCGGCCGAATTAGAGGCCTTACGGGCTCCGCAGGAGACGCTGGTCTGTCAAACTCGGTATAATGGGCAGCAACAGCAACAGCAGCAGCAGCAGCAGCAGATACTGCCGCCCACGAACGACGACGAGAATGAGGTGGATCAGGAGAACAATCAGACAGCGAACAGAAAGCGTAAGAAGAGGCCCGGCCTGTGCCAATTGTTGCTTCCGAGTAAGAAAGTCTACAAGCAGTTCAAAGCGCAACAACAACAGCAGCAGCAGCAGCAAACCAAAACTAGATGAATACTATTCCTTCGTTTGGGGGTAGTAGTAGGAGATGAAATTGTTCTTCTAGCCGAATCGTTATGTATCTTTTGCGAATCGGAAAGTACGCGCAATGAGCAATTTCCCTGCGCAAATTGTAAAAAAAAAAAAACATTTTTTTAAAAAGGATAATTTAGATGAGATTTTAGAAGATAGAAATTTTGAGAGAGCAAAAATTGCAGGAGAAACGAAAAAGATCATTGTGAACGGTTTTAAGTTCGCTCTCGAGTTTTACGTTTTCGAGAATCGAATTTGAAACGGCTCCCATCAGCAAAGTGGGAGCCATTAGCGTGTAGCGATGAGACTAATCGAGATCTCGTCTAAGATTTAGATTAATATTTAATTAAAACGCGATTTCGCGAACAAAATCAATGTAGGTATACAAAGGAAAAAGAAAAAATAATTCCGATTTATGCTTCCAACGCGAACAAAACATATGTAGGATAGGAGCTTTATTTGAGAAACTTTTTATCTCATATAAATTCGCGAAAGATTCCCGTTGCGCGCACAAAACGGACGCGTGTGCTTCTTAAGATTCGTCTTTCGTAACGCAACGAACTCGTAAATACATGTCTTCTTGTTATCTTGTTTTTCCATATTTATCGTTACTAGCCAATTATTTACTAGACATTTAACAGTACTGTTCGTTCGTGAGAATACCAAAATGACGTTTTATAATCCAGACACAGAATATATATTGTAATAACACGTGATGATATTCGACGAATTTGGTGTTACAATACCCCTTTCCACATACGAAGAAACATTCTGTATACCTGACAACAATACTTCCATGCGTTTTTTGTGAATTTAGGATTGATCGAAGCGCATATGCTTGATTACATCCCTCTTTTATAAGACAAATGTTTATTTTACATTTCCTTACACGGCGATCGACGAAACAAATTCGAAATCGAATGTAATTGCAATATTGGTAGATATTGCGAATGACGGCAAAGTCATTTACTAATACATTAATCTTTCTAACGAAGAAGAGTAATTATGATAATAGATCGAAATAAAATAGAAGGACAAACTAAATGTTTACCTAACTTTATCCACTTTAAGTGGTTAAACAATGTTTTACTAATGTGTTAATTACCTGTTGGAGAAGAAGAAAATAATTGCGATAATAGATCAAAATAGGAGAAACAGTGAGAAACCTCAAGTTTATCGTAACTATCGTGACTTAAAAGAGGCTCCTCGGTTTCCGAGGATTTCTAAAAGGTTGCCAATAAATGATTCAGCTGTGCTGAAACAACGTCTTGCTTAATTTATACTCTCTTCTACACCCAGTATATCAAAATATATATAGCAAGTGTATAAAGATCTTTAAAGAATTGCCATATAGTTAAAAAAAAGCAAATATTTTAAATTTATTTTAATTAGTTAATTACGAGAAATTGATAGAAACTAATAAAGATGCGCTTTTTTCTTTCAGACCTATTCAAAAAAATGTATCTTTAATCACAAACCCTCTGAAATGGAATTTTACTCAAAAATATTGATTGTTAAATGAGAAAGAAGTAATTAGAGGCTAAGAGAATATGGCAATACATTTTTTGAAACGTTCTGAATAGGTTTAGCATATGGTGGAGATATAAGACATGATAGGCACGTGACATTGTTTTATTAGACGCTTATATAGATATAACGTTTTGTTTTTCAGATCCATTATCTACGTAAACTGAGTGCGCATTGATAACTCACTGTTGCATCATCGAATGAAAATATAGACTTTCGTGTTTTTATATATATATATTTATATATATAATATATGTATATATATATACATATATATTTCTTTCTCTTTATTTCCGCGAATGAATGTTTCACAGGCACTTCGTCTCTAAACAGTGGCAAAAATTTGTGAATGATCAGTTTGGCGTGTAGAAAATGCGAAAGCGACACGTGAGGGTAAGCGTCATCGCAGAACTCACCATCAAGTTTTAGGGTCACGAGCAAAATATAAGATCTCGCAAATCACCTTTCTATCATTAATCCTCTTAATCGTACTTATCTCTCGTAATCTTTTTTTTTTTTTCAGCAAATCTCTCGTCTCTGACAGTGAGATCTCTCGCGATTACATCGACAACACATATTACAATTAATCACAGAAATGGGTAGATTCGACAAAAATAATTGCGCCACATTATATACAATTAACTTAATTACTTCTATAGGCAAGCACCTATTAAGTACTGATATATTCGATCGTTAAGATTTCGCCGTGATTGCAACAACAGGCTATTTTACGCCATTGCCATATTTTTCGAGTGAGTTATCAGATTATAATTTCTCGAGATCTAAAAAATTAGAAATTCCTACATCCTAAAGAAATATGTACAAATCTCAGAAAACTTGAGAATACTCTATAAAAAAATGAGAAAACTTTGGCTTGCCCGACGATAAAAGGGAGAATAAATTCGCATTAATTGTTCGAAAATATTTCGAATATAGCCTTGTACTATCTTCAATCCTTAAAGTCAGGAACTTTTTACAATTCAATTGTCCTATAAAAATTGAAATCTGAAAAAGTTTAATTTTCAAAAGATAAAAAGAGATATAAATATATATATTAGAAATCTTTAAAAGCAATAGTTCGACTAATAACATCATTAAAAAGTTATACAGGTTTCAATTCTTTTCTCCAATTACATAAACTATTATTTCGCGATCAAGCAAATTTCCAAGCATTTTTCAAATTTACAATATCCGGTGTTAATTAAAAAATAAAAAACAATCACATGATTGTATATCTGCGTAAAATTCGTGCTTCAAGGATTTTACGAAATATTTTAATATCAAATTTTTTTCTGATATACATAGAAATGTATACAAGTGCTAGAGATCTGATAGCTCACTTTAAAACCTGTAACTTCGATATTGCATTACTGTATCACCTATGTATCGCAAAATACTACAATATCGTTGGAACATAAATTTTTAACGTCTTTTGTGATCTTTTTTTTGACATTAAGTACATTACAGAGATATTTAACACATTTGAATTCCTTAAAGATTCCCAAAAGATTTTGCGATAGTCTCAAAAGAATTTTTCAACCGTTTCTTACGGTGTGTGGCCCGATAACGTTGCTGTCTTAAAATGCGTCGATAATTCTCTTTCTTCTTGAGAAAATCGCGTTTCCAAACGTCGATTTCTCGCAATACGATACGCGCATTTCTCTATCACAATCGTTCTTTCGAGCTTTCGATAGTTGTTAGACAATACTTGAGGCGTATAAAGAGTAAAACTGGACTAAAGTAAAGTGAAGTACAAACACTTGATGCATCAATGCACATCGCTCATTTAGTGAAGCTGTATTGAAAACATGCTAGGACCTCGTTTCATCAATGTCGCGTAACTTTAGCTCTTGTTCAATTCATCTCTAACTTATCTCTTTGGCTCATTCTTCTCTTCTTTCATGCGGAAATTTAAAAAGGAGTGATAATAAGTTACGGTGAATCTGGTAAAACTTAATTTTTACCAGAAATCGATATTAAATATCACACAAGCATTTGACGAAAGTGACAATTTTATATATATATATGTATATATAATCGACATTTCCCTCCAAATATTTCTTCATTTAAAATTTTAGGAATTTTTTAAAATTGTAAGAAAATGTTGAGAGAATGACAAATGTATTATTCAAAAATTTTTTAGATATCTTGAGACTTTCTGAAATTTCGTCGTAAATTTTCGAAAGATTTACACTGGATCTCTTGATTCTGATCCAAGTTTAATCGACGTTGACGAAACTGACCGTAAGACCTTTCATGAAAGTTCCTTAAGTACGACACGCAAGTTTGATTAAAAAATAGATATTATCTGTGAAATTTTATATAGAAGACTATCGCACTAGTAGTTCATTCAATATTAATTCAGATAATTCGCGCCGACACTGATAACGTTAAGTCCCTGTGCTACAGCTCGGAATATTCGCGAATCGCTTATTATTAAAAGACTTTACTGTTACTCAGTTTTCCGCATTAGAATCTATTAATCAAATCCGTTCTTTTGCGGTTTATCGACCTTTAACTCTCGCAAACTCTCCTCCGGCCTCATGGTCGAATTGCGCACTTCCAGCTTTTGGCCGTCGCCGTTCATGTTACATCGCTCGGCGAACGTCGCTTTACCGTTCGTCAGACCGTTTTGGATGCTCTTCTTGACGATCGCTTGCTGACGGTTTGTAATCGAACCCAATGCGCTGCTGGTTTTGAAATCGAGTCCGTTACTTTGCACTTCGGTCGTTAGACTCTTCGAGATCGGGGCACTTTGACTCTCTGCCAATTGCATGATGCCTGCAAAATGGAATGTCGAGCGTTAGATCGTTTGCGTTCTAATATAGCAGTTTCTATCATTAGTCACCTCAGATAATCTATTATTTAGCACGCTATTCTTCAGCACGGTTGAAATACGTGAAGCTCGAATGGCCGAAAAAGTTTGAATCATCGAGCTACGTTTCTCTACGCTTATACGTAAAACTACGGTTATATAAGTACAACTTTTCTAGTCCGAGCCTAACAGATAGAAGAGAAAGAAATATGTAAGATGAATGCGCTTGTGTAACAAAAACATAGATATCCTTACAGTTACAGAATTTAAATATACTAATACAGTACCGTGGCAATATTTATTGGTGCTATTCCATTCTTCGCGTAAGCTGAGATTGAACATGCTATAATCCGGATTGCCGGTGACCTCCTTCTCAATCGTCAGGAATTGAGGCAGAATGTTTTTCAGCTCGTCACCCGTCAACGCCGTGTAGGTCTCGAGCAACATCAAGCCTCGACATCTGTAAAGTGCGCACGAAGTTACATTTAGATTAACACAATGTCCTTCCCTCTCTTACGATGAATAAATACATACGTGAGAGTGAAGTAAAGGATTTTTCACTTTATGTTATAGACTTGGTAACTTGTCATGATTTTATCTTATTGACTACTGCGTTTTTGCGATTCTAGATTTGCGATTGCATGATATGGTTTGGGCACTAATGTCAGCGAATTAAAAAATGTTGTGTGCGTGGTTCGAATTCACTTGATAAGGACCAGAATGTGGTCGAAACGTTGTGAAGAATAAAATTGTTTTTGGCCAGTTCGGTCGAGAAAAACGACTTTTATTTTGAAGTAAAGGATCTTAGTGGAAGCAAAAGAGTTTTAATATTAATTTTTTTATTAAATAATCTGAATCTTGAAGTTAATTATAATCGAACTATTTATACGAAATTATTTCTCAAGATATATTTTGCATGCAAACATTATCGCCAAGCATAGAAAAACCAATCGTATAAGATGTCTTAGATTCATTTTTCACTAATTGTAAGTTTACTTTTTATTTATTTTTTTATAAATATAGAAATCGACTTTTCGATTATCGATATCGAAGATAGATAGAGTTTCAACATTTTAGTTCATTTAACCGTGGAAATACTGGGGTGTTACCTGGGATGCGCCGGTTCTCTGTATATGTCTAACTGGAAATACTGATTGTTGATGAGAAAGCAACGGCGACGCTTGAAGATAGTGAAGTGCGAATCGTCGCGCTGGGCCAACATGTTCAGGTAGTCTCGGTGCGTCAGTTGGGTCTTCACCTCGATCACTTGGCCGCACATCTTCGGTCGGCGAATCGTGTGGATATATGACCAGTGACCTTAAAGAATAGAAAATTCAAATTGTATCGTCGCTCGGATCCGTCGTTCGGACGTAGGAAAATAAAATATGACGATGACCGATGCACCGTTAACTTACACTTCAAATAAATTATCGAATTTTTTGATAATAATAAACACAAGTTAATTTTCCCCGTCAAGTGATAATATTGCTTTAAATGATTAATTGGGTCGCAAATGAGGAGAGCTTTTCGTTGTTTGCACGGTGATTCACCTTTCTGGCCGCGCTTGCGTAGACGGGCCTGCATCTTGGGATTGTTGCTTTGGAGGTAATTATGCACGACGTCGAAGTCCTGGAAAGGCGGGAACTCGCTGTCCGCCGGCAGCGGCGCCTTCACGAGGAACTTGACCTTGCGACTGCTGGCGCGCAACCGGTCGCCGGTGTCGATGCCCAGTTTCTGGCACACGCACTCGATCATCCGGCAGATCTTAGACTCGAAATCCTGCGAGTTGTCGATAACGTCGAAGTATGGGTGGCCCACCCAGGAAGCCGCGGCCTTATAATCCAGCTCCCGAGCAAGTTCGACACCCTCGGAGCGACACGCGTGTTCCTCCGTCGAGTAGAACTCCTCAGCGCCGTTCGCGGCCGAAACCATGTGGAGGATCTGGTTATATCTGGTCAACACGAGAGAGAAAACGGGAGTTTACTGGCAAATAAAATATTAAATTAAATACCATTGGACTACAAGACTAATAGCAGTAAATACTACTAAAAATGAAAGAGTATGAGAAGATTAATTTATTAGTTATTACATACAAAGAGGCTCATACGATTGATAAATCACTTAATGAAAAAGGTCTTAGAGCCAGTATACTGTTAACCTTTTCCATTAGGTGATCTACTAATTGTGATTAGTTTTCAAAAAATAGATTCTCCCGAAGACAAAGGTGAGTATCGACTTTACGAGCTTTCTTGTATCCTTCATTTGTCTCACCTGTTGTCTCTTAGTTCGACGTTGTTCCATCCGTTCGAGGCCATCATGAGCTCCCACTTATCTTTCGAAATAACTGTGAAAAATTACTCCCAATTAATCTTTACGTCACCGGAAAAAATCCTGAACTAATTCTATTGTTTTCAGAGTTTGTACTAACAGGCGGAGGCGTCCATAGCACCGCGATCACAGATGATCAGGCAATTCCTCGAACAGCTCTCACCCAGTTGAAAGAACGTGTTCTCGATTTGTATCATCGTGCGCAAAAGATTTTCCTGAAATTTGAATGCTGCAACACACGTGTGAAAGCAAATGCGGTATTATACAACGAATGTTCTCGCTCGCTCGTTTCGAGGTGTTGCTTGGGTAGGATCGATCTGCACGTGGACCTCGGCGATACTTGAAGCGCCTAGCCTGAATAATCGCGTCATTTATCACGATAAAGGGAGCCTGAAGCTCTAAGGAAGAAAACCCTAAATGCGGTTTAGCTCGATAAACTTTCTTAGGAGCGGTATTTTTAGAATTATAGCGAGTATACTAATCGAGTTATCTGAAAGACAATCTCGTATTAAAGCCCTTTTCAAGCGAGATCCTAGCGAGACGGGCGGACGATCCTCGTTCGTTCCAGTGACACGAAAAGAAAAACAAAATTCGCGAATTTTTTTATCAATTTCTTTAATATTTAAGATCCATGATTTTGTATACATTATTTTGCCAATAATTTTGAAAGAGGTAGAAAAAGATGTATCTGTGATGTTTTTATTCCACAGTTGATTGACGAGAGGAGATTCGATTTATTTCTGGACGAGGAAATACCCGAGGATTCGTCTCTCGTCGGCGAGAGAATTCTAGAGTGCCTTGCATTTCAAGGCCGAGACACAATGAAGCGTATAAAGATAAAAATGTAAGAAATAAGGAATAAAATACATAATATCGCGTTGACACGCAGGACGAGACTACGAGAAGCGATCGATAAGCGGAAAGATGCGGCTAAGGGATAAAATAAGCTCCTACGCCTACTGGATAGCACGAAAAAGTGTACCCAATTGACTAGTATAAAGAAGACTTGTTAATCGGCAAATTGAAAGAAGGTATTCATTTCACAAAGTTACAAAATTCCGATCACCAGATTGAGAAGTTCTTTAATTTTACTTTAGTCGGTGATTATTTCGCGAACTTGGAAATCTGTTTTGCCTTCCGTTTCATTTAGATCAATATCTATTTCGTAACATCAGTTAAGTATTCTCTATCCTACAATTCTTCGAAGAGAATTAAATCGTTTATTTCTTTAGAAAGAATCAAGAATGATATATTATTATATTATATTATATAAATATTTTTATAAATTTTTATATAAATATATAAAAATATAAAATAAATTCCTATGCAATTTACTAGACGCTGAAGATAAAAGCGACACGGTGGAAAATTAGAATAATAAAAGGTAGAAATAAAAAAAAAATCTGAAATGTTTTCGGACTAATCGCTGATTTCCTTGTGCGTCTTACACCGGTATTTTCATCGTGTCTCAGACCCAAACTCTAGCGCGATAACTCGGACTCACCCACGCCGGAATCGACCTCCAGGATCTCCGGCCATCTCGCCTCGCCATTGCGGGAAGCCTCGCTCCTACGATCTAGACACGAGGATTTCGCGTGCGAAGGACACGGATTCTCCGCTAGAATCAACCTTGATCTTGGCCTCACGTTGGGATTCGGAGACTCGGGTTGAAAACAATATCACGCTTTTGCGCCCGATGATCGAATCACGAAGGAAAAAAGACGAGTCGAGAGGAACTGGATGAAAGGAGCTCTTACTGAACGAAGATACGAATTTACGAAGTTTGGGATTCTTCGATTATTCCCTATTCCTTTCCTTATAGTTCAATCTTTTTCTTTCTTTTTTTTTCAATCTTTTTCTTTTTTTTTTTAAAAATTAAACGAAACTGCTTCTTCTTGGACGAACCTAACGGGCTAATGTCAAGGATCTAATATCGTCGACGATGAGAAGTAATCGGATTACCGCGCTCAAGTTTCACAAACGTCAGTTTTTCTTTTCCAACTGACGAATGTGCCTTCGCGGAAAAATAGCCGAGTGACAAATGGATATAGAAATAAAGGCGGTAATAATCCGTGACGTTTTTAGCTTTTAGTCCTTGGTTCGTCGCAAACATCAAAACGAAATTTCTTTCCAATTAATTACGTCCCATGGCAAATCAAGTTGACAAATTTGAGCTCCTAAAATTTCTCAAAAACGCCAAATCATCGCAATGAAATTTTAAGTACGAAATGCAAGCGAATGAGAATAAAGTAAAATCTTACGAATGTCTTATTTTTTATATTTCCGTAATGCTCGAGAAATCGCAAGATTTTTGCAAGATGTTTTGCAAACATTTTGCAAATATTGTCACATGCTTCGACTGAAAGAATCGCGCCACTTTAATGTGATAAATTATCTCGCGTTCAATTATATGAGACGTTTACTTGGCAGGAGCGTTATAGCTCGTACAAAAATTGTATAAGAGATTCGGAACACGGTATATATCTGCGACGGATGATAAAACGTATGCGCAAAAAACGTAAGCGGGGGAAGCCTGACATTCGCGTTCGTTCGTTCAAGGGCGAGCTGATTAAAGTCGCAGTAGTCGCACGATCGCCTTACGTAAGGGCGAACGAGCGTTTCGATGACCACCGACGTAGCAAAATTATTATCTTATCTCGAGCACTACAGCAAAACTTTTCAGTTCAACCTCGACATATGCGCTGCCAGGTGGGACGTTTTAAGAATTAAAAGAAAGACAGACACACGTCCCTGAAAACGTACCGACAGCTCGGTCGAGCGCGCACAATACGTTCCGCGCGAAGTACGAAGAGTTATATTTGCGGGGAGAAATAATATGGTGCAAGAGATTTTAAAAATAGACCCGGGGTTGGACCAATTGACGCGGCCGCGAGGCGTAAATAAAACCGACAGGACGAGATAATTGAAATTTCGCCTAACGATCGGACAAAGTCCCCCGCGCGATACACGATATAGAACGGAAGGCCAAGTTTAGCATATATAGGCCAAGAAATTTTAATCGTTATGCAATCGGGCTGTGTTGTAAGGCCCGGTGTCCACGATGCTAGAACTGTGTCCAAGTTTCGGTTTAAGCCAATGAAACTGCTACTTTTCTGTAAGAGCTGCAAGTTGATTGGCTTAAACCGAAACTTGGACACAGTTCTAACATCGTGGACACCGGGGTTAACGAAAGTAAGCTCCACATCGCGCACATCTCGTCAAACGACCGTTCGGCAGCCGTTCCGGGCGCAACGAGACGCAGACAGCATGTCCGAAATCGGGACATAAGACGTCTTGAAGACATCTTTAAGACGTCTTACGATATGATAGCTAAAAGACGTCTTACGTCCCGATTTCGGACATGGCTGGGAGAGACATGCCCGAACTTAAACTTCACCGGTGAGATCCGCGGCGAAGCTTTCAAGGATCCGACGTTTCATACGCGACAACAGGTCGGACTGGTTTCCTTTATCCTTTTTTTTTAGCCGTCATCGAGATCGAAGTCTTTTTTTATTTCCTCTCTCTCTTTTGCTGTCTCTCCCCGCGCTCTGGTGCAAAGCTTGGGATTTTTCCGTCCGCGTTTGTTCTCATACTCACGTCGCGATTGCGCCGGTTGACGCAATCCGTCGTGTTACCGGGGCAATGCATCCGAGCCGCGACTTCCAAGGTCGGCGAGAAATAATGTCTCGCACCCGCCTTCCCTGGCGGGTTTGTTTCAGAAAATCAGAAAAGAGGAAAAAAAAAGAAACAACACAGGTTCCCGACAGTTAATCCGCGGTGTAATTTCCATCACGGCCGGACAAACGAATCCCAGAGCTGAGTCGAGACAGACAGTTCGACGCTTCTCTAATTAATTACGTCAATTACTGCAGCTGCGGCCTGATTCGCGTCGCGCGGGGTTGGGGGGGATCGTTCCTGTGCTAATTTCCCTGCGTGTCTACATTATTGGAAAATTTTCACGTTTTAGGATATACGCTGTCAAGAATCGAAAGAGCACGTGAGTGTAAAAAGAGAAACGTGGGGGTGAAAGGGAGCGTATGAAAAAAAAATGATATAATCAGCAAACTTACCCTCCTCCGCGTTCAGGTCTGTAAACTTGATGCCGCCACTGAAATGGAAAGAAAGCAGACGGCAGATATGAGACAATTGCGTGAGGCACGCGCTACAATACGAGCGTTTAAATTAATTGAGTTTAATCGAACGAATATTTATACAACGCAATTGCGACGCTGGAACGGTCTTAAATATCTCGCAGCTGCAACCGCAGCGGCAATTGAAGGAAGCTTATCGTTACACGCGGACCATCTTAATAAATAAATAAATCGCCTTCAAACGTCTCACTGTCGAATGCTACAATACTATACCGTTTCTCCCGGGAATGAAATCAATGGAATCAATGTACAAACTTATAATAAATTTTCCAGCCACACCCGATGGAGCGATCTTGAAGTTTTTGCGCGGCTTTTGCGACGCAAATGCAAATTGTTCATTGCTCATTTAATATTTACTCCGCGGAGTCTGTTTCGCAAATTATTTTTTTTTCCTTCGCGACACAATCTTGACTCGAACGAGAGGCGAGAGGGGGCGAACGGCTTTATTTCATTCTTCAAGAACTTCTTTTAACCCTGCAATGCGTAAAGCACACGCATACACCCGAGGGTTTGCGAGACTTTCCTGTTATCCTCGTATTTCCTGTTAATTTCGACAAATTTTCCAAATTGATTAATCTCTCGATCTATTTTTGTTCTTCAGACGCTTCACATCGTCAGGGCATTCCAGGGTTAATTCGAAAGAAAACCGTACTTGTCCAAGGGTGACTCTCGTTCCAACTTCTCTCTTTTTTTTTCTCTCTCGCTTTTTATTTATTTTTCTTTTTTTTTTCTTTTGTAAACTTGTGATCGTATAATTGCATACCTGAGCAGCACGGTCGCTGTCTCGGGGACACGGAACACCTGAAAAAGAAGACAACCACCGCTCTATCGAATCCAAAACGAAGGGTAAGAGCCCCCCGAAACTAGATCGCGTCTCTTTTCGAAAAAAATCTCTGCTCGGCTACAAGCCTCAAATCGCGACAAGATTGTAACATTTAATTGGAACAATTTAAAGATCATTGCTGATCATTGCATAATAATTTTTTTTCCTTTTTTTTTCTTTAAGAAAAACTCGAATCGATTGAAATACGTTCCGCAAAGCTCGAACGAGCTGTGATATCTTAGAATCAACCTCTATACGCAGTTGCGACTCACTGTGCGACTACTGCGACTTACTGCAAGGTAGAATCTCGCTCCAGAGAGAGAGAGAGAGACGAGCTACGGAAAAAGCTAGATTATGCCATAAATGCATTATCCTTGACTCGAATTATCGTATAGCACGCGACAATCGAACGACGTTCTGCAAGTAATACGTATGTACGGTAGACTCTATGCAGAATAAATAATCATCCCCTTCTCCCGGCTATATACCGTCAATAATAACGAAACTACCCTTACGTTAAGGTATACTGTACGGCGTCTGTCGAATCGAATCTAACGTGGCATCGAGCGAGCGTCGCTCGGAGAGAAAAGCAAAAGGTCAGTCAGGGGGGAGAAAACTCTCGCAATGAAGATATCTCTTTTCTTTTTCTTTTTCTTTCTCTCGCGGAAAGCTTCTTGTTCTTAAGGCTCAAAGGGTTCTACCTACCTTCCAGCCCATGTTCTCGAAGAAGGTGCACAGCCTGGCCTGCCCGGTTGTCTTGCCGCCGCATGGTCCTGCAATCATGCGAGAACACGTGGTTTAGACACCGGCCGCTCCGAGATTCCTCGATCGAAAAAATTTCACGCGAGATCCACACGTGCGAATCGTTTCTGCGCGCGTGAAACCTTTTATTTCGCGATACCTATTGGTTGCTTTCCATTTACATCAAAACTCAGATAATTCTCACTTGTGACGTCATAACTCAGTTAAATGCAAACGTTCTTTTTGCATGCTGGCAAGCGAGATTCAACTGAGTTTTTATCCACAATCGAGACCGCGTGCTTTAACGAATCAAATAAACTCAGATTAAAAGTGAGGCTATGGACCTATATTATTATGCGATAGCTTTGTCACCAAAACAAGCAGGTAAATACGAAATGACATTTACCTGAGTATAAAATACTACACATATCTGAGTGACTCAGATCACTTGAGTGTAAATGGAAAGCAACTATTATACGTCTTCTCCTGGCTTGTTTTTCGTTACATAAAATAAATGACGAGCATATGAGAAGGCAGACAGTCAATAAAAGTCAAATTGATCGCAATTGGTGCGCGTCGGCCCCGGCTATTAACTATTAACTCGTCGCGACGTTATAAATCGTGCTCGTTATGCATATCGGGATGGCAGCAAATTTTGAGCCTGTCGCGCGCGACCTGATCCTAAAATAAAGTATGCAATCGCGCCGCGACTCAGCATCTAAAAGAATTCCGGTCTTTTTTCCGGGCTTCTCCCCACTAAAGTATCTAATCTAATCTAATCCATCAACGTCCACCCTTGCTTATCCCAAAGCAATACAGAACAGAACTCCTTGAGCCTCTACGCTCCTCCCATAAAAAATACAATGAAATTCGTTCCTTCGAGCGATGAAAAACAATATAACGTTATTTTTTAGACTATTTTTGAGAAGAACACATCCTCTCCTGTAAGATTTTCTTTGCTGTAATTTTCCTGTCTTTCACGAAGCTCGGGAGATCTCGTTCGAATCGTATTGATGCCTAAATAAAGTTCAGCATCTTCAGGAAAAGAATATCTTATTTTCCTTTGTTTTTTTTGGACGCATTGCTGCGTGAACCCTCGCGATCGCGTGAAAATTAAATTTCCGGGCGAAATAAAGAGAAGCACGTTGCTCTCACAATTTTCAAGGTTTCTCCGTATATTCATAAGCAACTCAGATTCTTCTGCGTTCCTTCGTCGAAGTTAAATTTTGCAACCGTTCTTCTGCGTCTCGCAATTCTCGCATACGTCGTGTATATAGCATCAGGTTGTCGGAGATAATTTTCGCTGTCCGCCAAAAGATAACGGGTTGTCAACGATAAACCGACAAGGCTATCTATCGTGTCGTTCACACTATCTGCTGAACTAATTCGAGTAATTTCCGGTTGTTATCTATCTGAAATGACGAAAACAAACGTAAGAAAATATCGCTTATCGGGGCCGAGGGGGAAAAAATAGCCGTGACTCATGCGACGCGGGCGGGCGTCTGTCTGAGAAATGTCTGATTGTGAGAAGCGTGCACCCGGTACTTTGTATTGTTTTACATTCAACATCGGCTATCGAGCCGATAAATTCGTATGGACGAGCGACGCCGGCAATTCAAGCGGGCAACTCGGCGAGGGGCAACAAAGGAATAATGCAACTAACGCAAGTAAAAAAAAATAAATAAAACAAGTAGGGAGTAGGGGATGAAATTTCGTCCGCACGGTCGGGATAGGTGAAAATTCATGCGAACCGGAGGAGACCCGTTCTCCTCCACGAGACACCCTTCTCCCGGGTCACCCGGTACAGCTGTGGCCGCGTGTCCCTTGGTGTCCCTGCGTGGCGCGTGGAATCGATCGGCATCCGCGCGTGGCCACGATAACGAACATTGCAAAACGTCGCGAGGGAGACGAGAGACAGTGCGACGCTGCGTCATAGCCGCGCACGAACGAGATGAACCCCGCCGAGTTCGATGTCCCATTTGCAAATTTCGATGTAACGAACGGAATTTGCGATATACTACCTGCGTCCCTATCGCCGTATCCCTTTTCTACGCTAGCCCTCGAAAAACTCTCGACAGTTTCAAGAAGAATTCCGATAAACGTGAAGAAACAGGGATTTCTAAAAATATGGAGTACTTGCTTCGTGTTGTTATTGTTGGAAATTCTTTCTATCCTAATCCGGAGATCCTTTCTTTCAAGAATTTCCGAGGGATATCTCGTTCTGTCGAAAGGTACAGGACCCTAATCAACCTTGAAACAAATTTATGACCCATTTCCGTAACGAGAAGAGTAAAGTATAGGCACTCTGTACTTTGGAATCTCCGTTCCTTCGCACCTCGTCGTTAGAACCTTTTCCTGAAACGTGTCCAGAATTCTCTGGAAAGACGCCAGAACTTCATTGCATTGAAAATTATTATTGAATCATACTTCAATTTATACATTGAAAACGGGGATGCTGACTCCGTACGGAAACTCGCGCCGGCAATTATTAGCACGCGCTTCCCGTTTTCTTCTTTCTTTTCTCGACCGTGGGAGATCTCCCGACCCTGCTCGTTATACTTGATCCAGCGAGCGAGAGAAAACGCGAGCGGTCCCCGCGTCCCACGTGCTCCGCCGCCGTCACACGCCGGCCGGAAGAAAAACGTCTCTCTCGCTGCGAAAAAGTCTTCGCGCGTCCTATTCTCCCGTTGTCCGCGCGAGAGATTTAAAAAAGGAAGCAAAAAGGGAGGAGCGGAACACATGTGCGCATCGCGTTAAAAAACGGAGACTATACCTGAAGAACTTGGCGCGGCTGCAAAAATAACTCGAGGAGTTAAAAGCGAAGCACGTGCTTCGTCGGGAACTCGCGCATTTTCCAAGATTTCTCATTTTATTTTACTCCATTTTATCGCGATTGACGCAGGTTTTTCTTCCGATCCCCGGAATTTCTAGGCTTCACCCTCGGAAGGATGATTCTCTCAATCACGCAGTTTTCCCACGTGTTTATCTATGACGTAAGAAGCGCAGATGGTGAGAAGCGCGATTAGACGGAACGCTCGATTCCATTTTGAAATACGCGAATATATGTTGCAAAGTAAATGCAAAGTGATACAGCGGCGGCCGGAAGTTTTTGCAAAAGCCAACGGACCGATGCGAGACGGACGAGAAATAAGAAATCGGACACTCGGCTGTGAAAATGTGCGCGCGCGAGCGCATTTTAGGTTTCAAAATAGATCGAGGAGATAAATATGTAAAATAGCCCAAGGTAATACGCGGTGTCATTGTCGCGAGCTTTTCTCCGTAGCTCCTCGATATACTTTGTATCTCCCCGAATAAAAAACTCCAATTACTTGCTCGAATTATTTCGATATCTGGCGAACGGAGAGAGCGAACGAGCGAGCGACGGTCTGCGTCTTCGGGCATGCAAATTCCGAGGGGAAAAAAAAAAGAAATCAATGAGAGAGACTCCGCGTGCTCGCTCTCGCAGACGTGCTCGTCCTCGCTCGCGACGTCGCGAGGTAATTAGCGAGTTTTCAGCGGCGAGTCGGGCTCCCGGAACGGAGTTCGGGAGTCCGATCCACGCCATCGTCTACTCCAGCCTGTACCCTGTACCCCCCTGTGATTACGTACGTACCTCCGGTCAGCACCAACTTGTACACGCGTTTCTGATCCATCGTCGTCGGCTCCACTTCCGTTCCCGAATCCGGAATCGGAATATCTCTCTCGCCTTCTTCCTCGCCTTCTCACTCACGCTGCCCGACGGCGACGGCGACGACGGGGACGACGGCGACGAGTCTTCCTCGAGGGATGCCGGGGTGGTTGTTTCCTCCCTTCCGATGCGACGGGGGTGGCGGGTGTGCGACGCTCGAAGGCGGCGGTGGTCGGTACTACATAAATACCTGGTGGCGCATCTCGGGTCGGCGCGTGCTCGACCGCGTGCTCGGACGACGCATGAGGGAGGAGGGGGGGGGGGAAAGGAGGGAGGAGGAAAAAAAACGACGACGACGACGACGACGAGGAACGACGAACGATTGAAGGTGGGCCTCGAAGCGCGCGCGAGTTACTCAATCGAATGTATTCGCGGGGTGTCTACCCTTACCGCAGCCGGGGTGTCAGTCTCTTTTCTCGGAGCAAAGGGAGGAGGGGCGAAGGAGGGGAAAAAGGAACACGATACCGCACGGACTCACGACTCGACACCAACAAACGCGCGCGTCCGTCCCGTTCCGTGGCTCGGAAGCATCTGAAGTATTCTGAAGTTGTCCCCGAAGCAGCGAGAGAGCTGCGCAGCTGGTCGTCGCGGCGAGTGTGTCGGCACTGTCGGGCACGAAGTCACGCGCGGCGGAAGCGACGGGCACCACCGGAACCGGGACCCGACGACGGACTCCCGCGCCAAATTCAAATTCGGAGCAGCGGAAACTCGGAGCCACTCGGCTTCCCGTTTGTCGCTTTACGTTTGTGCAATTGGGCTCAGCGCAGAGATTTATTTCCTAGGGACGTTGATTCGACATTTTTAAAATACTCAAAAATGCCTTTATCGATATGTAATTACTCTATATGTGAGATCTATGTAGATAAATTCCCCGGTGGGAAAATGTCTCGGAATTTTTTGTCATTATTAAAGAATTTTATGAAAATTTTAAAACTTTCTCAGAATCATTCATATTTTTCTCGCCGACACATCTTTATAAAAATCTAAATAAATATGAGAAAATTCATCCAACTTATTAGAAATTTTCATATATATATATATATATTACAGATACTGAAATATTTCGAAAATCCTCGTCCAATTATTTCTGAGAAGTCAACATCTTTTTCAGAATTTTTTACGAATCTGAAAAATAATTTGATGAAAAATTCTTTGAAAATTTCTGAGAAAATATAAGAAATTTTTTCACCAGGATTGGAAAATACATCGCAATTGGCCAAAAATGTACAAAAATTAATATCTCGTTCGGCTTGGCGTCCCAGATTGCCCAGATAGAACATAATGCTCATGATGACATTACTTAAAAATCCCATTTAACGTCACCTTGACCTCATTATGGCCAGTATTCATGTCAGATCTTATATATAAGATCGTCATCTTAACTCCATAGCTAATGGAATGAATCGTACAGTATCTAAAGATAAACTTAAGACGATCTTAAATAAGATAATGAATCACCAATCTATGGCCGGTATTCATAATCAGATCTTATTTCAAGACCGTCTTAAGTAATATCTTAAGATGCTAATACGGCTCTGCGATTGGTTAATGACATCTGAAGATTGATACTTAAGATGGTCTTAAATATAAAAATCGACTATGAATACCGGCCTAATGACTCTTTAAGTTTTTGGGATTGTACTTACCCAGATTGTTTTCCACGTTTATAATTCCATATACGTTTACGAGAGACCAGAAACATCTTTGCGATTCAACGATTTCCTCCCGCGAGATCATCGCGAAAAGATCCGCTCATATAACGGCCGACGTCCTTATATATTTCACTCGGCGTCCCCACGCCGCGGCCGTTCAAACTTTGGAAAATACCTCGATGGAGAAAAAAGCAACAAGCGTCTCTTTATCGCCTCCGTTCGCGCGACCGCAATAAAAACAATGTCCTTGGTACAGATAACACGCTCCGCTGAGTTTTCCCTATTTTATCCTCCTCCCGAGAGCGCGAAATAGATCTGAGACATACGTAAAACACTTTTTTTTACACGTTTTCCCTCTTCTTTTACTTCGATTTACTAAAAAACCACACGATAAATTTTAAAATATTAAAATATTACGTTTGAATTAATATCTCGCAATAATATATATACATGTATTCCGCAAACATATTTTCTTTTATTTTACTCTCTTCTTAAATGACAATAACAGAATATAACGTGATAATATAACACAATCGATGAGAATCAATTAAGTTACCTCGATTTTCTGAAAGAGATTTTTATTTTGATTAAACCTTAATAATTAAAACCGATACAGATGTTAAAGAGTCTCGATTATCTTTTTCTCGTCTCTAAACTAAATTAATCGTTGTCGCTTATACAATTACGTGACTGCAAAAGTAGATCGAGAGAGAGAAAGAGAGAGAATCGGAGGGGGATCGTATATACAGAACTCTTACCATCTTTTTAGTTAGTTTTGGCTAAAATAATTAATAATTTTCTCTGGTCTCTGTATTCTTTTGTTTGACTTGCAATTAGTCGTTATAACGTGTATTGAAAATAAAAAATACACTTTGAAAAATCTTAGTCATTTATTGTCAGAGAAATTATTAATCGTATAAATGGAGCGAACGTAAGCAATCTAAATTTTGCAATTTTTAAATTTTTTTCTTTGGTGCTCACGTGGCGATAGATGAACATGGAATACACACGTGTGCTCGATATTTCAGATTTACAAAAAAACATTTTTCAATAAAAAAAAAAGTAAACGCGTGTTGCACACATTCGCTGAAATTTAACACTAGGTTACTAATGAAAAACATAAGAACGTTGATTTCCTCCATCCAAGTCCAAAATAATCAATTCGACGAAAAATCGATATTTCAAGAATCGATAAAAAAATCGATTTTTTTTTAAATAAAAGAAAATTGATTCTCGATGAATCGATTAAGAGTCAGGCATCACTATATAGTCATAGTCTAGTATATAGGAAGAGGAATAAAGGATTCACATTGCGTCCGATGTTCAACGTACGACGATCCGACATCCAATAACAGAATTTATTATTAGAGACAAAAATTTCCTATTGGATGTCGGATCGTCGTACGTCGAACATCGGACGCAGTGTGAATCCTCCAGAAGCTGTGTCACTTGCTGGAAAGCTCCCATAATATAAATATGGACCCATACAGAAGTGTGCGCTCACCAACCGCATGTTCCAACATTTCTTCTCTTTCGTGATTTTTTCATTTTATACGGACAAAGTCAAACCTGCAGTGTAAGTAGTATAAAAATTGATAGAAATTAGTTTTTCTGATTAATTTTTTGATTCAGTTTCGAGTTAAATTTCCGGTAATTCTCTTTATTCACCGTATTTTTTTGTTCGACTTATTATTGTTAGATCGCTATTACGTATTATAAAAACATGATATAAAAGATACATAAACTAACATTAAAAAATACAAAAAATTTTAGTCAGAAATTAAGCATATGTGAGCATCTAAATTTTACAATTTCTTGTTTCTTCTTTGGTGCTCGTGCACATGTGTCACCACGTGGTAGAAGAACATAGAACATAGAACACACACGTGCTCGCGTATATCTCAGCTCACAAAAAACATTTTCTCTATTGAAAAATAATTAAGAAACTGTCTTTTTTTAAATATTAAATATTTAATGCAGATGGATACATATATATGTCTTGTTAAAATTAAATTTTTTTTAAAAAAGAACACAAAGCACCGTGCTTGTAATGCTTCATATTAGATATTAGAAAGAAATATTTCACTATTTTGAAAAATTTTAAGAAATTGTTTTTATAATTTTAATTATTTAATAATGAAATATCCCAGACAACACGCACATCAGAACATATGACGTCTTAAAGACGTCGTTAAGGTTTAGTTGCGTCACGTACACATGCAAAACCAAAATGTCAATACTATCAATGTGAATGGAAGCAAGATAAACTTAGATTATATAATAATACGCTATAATTATAAATATATGATATTATTTTGTAGCACTTTAGCGTATGCTACAAAAGCAAAGATTATTCTGTATATTTTTTATCTTTTCTCAGAGAGAATTAAAATATGGCATCGTATAGTCAACCTTTATATTGCGATAAGAGTTGTAGTCAATATCCCTATATCGGCAGGGTATCCGTAGGAAAAGAGGACAGTGTTGACTTCATTTATCAATTTGTGAAGAAAAGATTTGTTGCCAAGAACCACAGGAATAATAGCATATTTCATACTGCTCCTGACGTGATTGGGCCACCCAAATTTCAAAGCTATGGAGAACTATTTTATTTACCATTTTTTCAAGGAGGTATGATGGTATGTGTATTTCCTAATATTATATGTCATTGTCCCGTGAAAAGTAATCGCAAATTATACTTACAAGAGTCTGTAGTATTTGACATTATATTTATTTGATACTTCTTGACTTTTTAATTCAGAGTACTTTTGATGAACATATTTCAACATCTCCATGGGAAAACAGAAGTCCTGAAAGTAACCTTGATTTTGCAGATCGCTGTGGCGAGATAGAAAATAATTACATTGGTATGTAATATTTGATTTGATAAATGAGACATTCTTAAAGAAGATATGTTTCTTTTTAGGAAAGTATAATTATATATATTTTATTTTACAGATATTGAGTTTCATGAAGCTGTATATCCGATCAGAGTCTCTATTTACGAAATACTTAATCCTGGAAGAGTAATTCAAATTTGGGCTCAAGATTCTAATAATCAGTGGTTTCAGTTGTGGAATGGGTCGCCTCAGATTGTGTCCCCAACATCAAGATTATTTTCCCCGCCCTTATCGCACCCGTGTAAATTTAAAACCAAAATGCTCAAACTAGTATTTAAGAACAACCCACAAACTTTCCCTATAACTTACACAAAGCTAGATGCTGTGATGCTTATCGGTACATCAGATTTGATTCTTCCTAGAAATACTAACGAGAGTTTAACTAATCTGTTCAAAGAAATTAACTGCATGGACTCCCTTCCGTTCCATGAAGATGATAATTTAACAGCAGATTTAAAAAATGTACACTCGGATATAGTTTATCTGCAAGAACATTTTCCTGAATATTGCGTTATTTTTAAAAGGTATTATTGTCGTCGACATTAGGTAATATTCAAAAAACCTTTTATTTTATTAATAATGTAAATAAACTTGGGCCGATGTTATTTGCAGCGATGCAGGGACTTCTCGTGAGGTAATCCCTGATCATGTGCAATCTCTTGGACAGAAATACTCGCGTTGTCTTTTACCAAAAGGTCATTCGAATAACGCACAGAAACGCATGAAACTCTCTTTGGGTGAATCCAAGAAGCTATTACGTTGCAGTATACTTGCGCTTTCTGTATAGTATTTCAAAAAGTCTATTTTTCATAGCAATATTTATTGCAATGTCATCTCGTGTATTAAAGTTTTATTTTTTATCTTTACAGGATGAAATACTACTAAAAATATTGAAAAACTTAGATTTGACGACGTTATGGAGCATGAAATATGTAGATGAACGCTTTAATAATTTAATACAGGACTATGAACTCTATACATGTTTGAACGTGCGAAATGTATCTCGTACAGATATGCACGATATATTTTGTTTCTTTACTCCTAGATGTAAATATTTGCAACAGTTAGATCTTACAGGAAGTAAGTTTGATGTTAAGGATTTCATAAACTTTCTTGATAATTGCGGCAGGCATTTAACGCACTTAAGATTAACTGATTGCTATGTCGACAATTGTGCCCTACTTAAAATTTCAGAGATATGTAAAAATTTGAAAGGTATGTATATATGTATACATATAATATGTAAGATTGTCAAAGGTACTGGTAAATTGCATATGACCATTACATTGTTTTCTTAGAATTGGACCTAGAAAGTTGTAGTTGCCTAGACGACGAAGGATTTTCATATCTCGAGAAGCTAAATAGTTTGGAACATTTAAATCTTTATGACACATGTATAACATCTGAACGTCTTTACAAAATACTGCAAAAAAATCAATGGATGCGTGATTTATGCGTGTTCGCATCTTCATTGCGTACAACAAACCTAGACCTAGAGGCAAATGCAATAAAATTGAGAAATTTATGTCCTAACTTGGAAGTAATAGATTTATATAGGACAATTGATCGTACGCCGACAATTATTAACGTTCTCGCTGACTGTAAGAATTTACGAAAAGTGTATCTTCCCAAGTAAGTGTGTACTACATTTTCTTTTACAATACATGTTACCGTATTCTTTATCGAAATTTTTGTATTTGCTTCTCTTACATTTCGAGCATCTTGAGAAAGTTACATTAATTTTTTTGTGATTAAAGTACTATAATAATTATATGATTTTTGTTACAGACTCGGATGCTCAATCGCTGATGATAGTTTGTATAAATTACTTTCTTCCTGTCAACGCTTGGAAGCAGTTTGTTTGTGCCGTATTGTCCTCACTGATCGCAATTTGGAATTACTAACGCGGTGCAGAAACTTGAGATGGTTATATCTGTTTCAGGTGGAACTTGATACACCCGATAAATATTCCGTTATTTTCGAACGATGTCCTAAACTGCAAGAGTTACGTTTTATATACTGTAAAATTAGCGATTGTTTGGTTAACGAATGGAAAGAAAGATATCCGTGTGTATCCGTCTATACATTCGACATAGACTGATGATTTGAGTTGTTTTTGTTTATTATTTTGAAATACTAGTGTATAAAATCAATTAACCTTTTAAAAATTATCTGGTAAAATTAGATTGTAGGGGAAAGAGGGTTAAGATGACGAATAATTTTTTAAAATTCTAATTTATTTAGAATTTTTAAATTTTTAGTTTATATAAAAGACTTTAGTAAATCTAAAAAAAAAATAGATAATTAATTTTTTGAAATCTCTTGACGACGCTTTCTTTACCAGAGGATTAGGGAATATTTTCTTCATAATGTGGAAATTCGTGAAATAAAATCACTCAAATCGGAAGATTCGATTGTTCTGTATTTCTCTTTTCCATTTTTGTATTTACAATATCTATATATATATATATCTCTCTCTCTATTAGTGAATATTTAATGTACAGCTAATACGTCTTAGCAAACAGCACCGAAAATCTACTGCGTAATTACGATGCATGATATACTGCTCAGAATAATTAGAGGGTCGTTCATCCGTCAAGCTTAATTCTATATTCGAGCAATCAAACTCTGAAGTCGCTTACGGGGACTTAATATCTTAATAAACAATATGACATTCAAAATAATGACATTTGTTTAAAAAAAAGTAAAATGATTCAAAAAAAGAAAAAAGCGATGCAAAAAATAAAAAAGTACATGATGCCTATTTAAAGGCGGGTCCACATCTGAGCACGCTCGGATCCGAGCCAAGCCGAACACGAATGAACGTATTGGTGTGGACGATGATCCAAGCCAAGCCGAACAGGCCCAGACCGTTCGCCGAACGCGCTCAAACCGATCCGCGAGTCGTGGATCAGATCCGAGCATTTGCCATTCGTATGAATGTGTGTGAACGGGCCAGAGCGAATGTTCGAAGGTAAGCCGTGTTCGGAGGAAGAAAGAGAATTCATCTTATCTTCGTACAGTAGGTCACAGAAACTGATAAATGCATCTTCCAAATCTTCGTCCGCTATTTTCACTACCTGCCGAACGTCTGGATCACTTCCGAATACTTCCAAATAGACGCTTGAGCAAGCATCGTGCGAATTTGTTCGGCTCTCGTTCGGCTTGGCTCGGGTCAAGCGTGCTCATGTGTGGATCCACCTTAAAAAGGAGAAAACAATCGAATTAAATGTGTGAAACTAATATCCATAAAAAAAAGGGAAGTAGAGACGGACAAGCGAATTAATGTCCATTTCTACCTTTAACTACATTTTTACCTTTAATCTCGATTTAACTTATTTTTTTATCTTCTTCTAATTTTTAAAACTGAAAAAGGATAAAAAGTAAGTTAAATCGAGATTAAAATTAATCTACATTGATAGAAATAGAAATAAATCAATCAGATGCATACATATATATGTGTATATAGCACAAATAATCGGATTTTTATGCTGGATTTTGCTTAAAGTATGTCTTTTTTTGTTACGTAAAATATAACGCGTTAAGGAAAAGAATAATGAAGATTGTTTATGCCGCAGCTATAAGACCCCCCAAGTTTTTTATTCGAACGAGCAGCTTCGCGAGCATCGCTTTAATTAATAGGCACCGCGGACAAATATTACATTTAACAATATCTTTAAGACAAAACACATTTAGTAACACCATATCCTCAATATTATTTGCGCTCGTCGTTATTTAAACATTTAGAAATATATCTCATCGTCGCGCAGTGTGAGTCGATGATCTCTACTAATTCTAACATCCTTAAAGAAATGAATATATATATATATATTATATATATGTAGGCTCCGTTCCGATATTCACTGTCAGTACTAAAAATCTATAGTTTACGTCACATACACTATAGATTTTCAGCACTGGCAGTGAATAACGGAACACAGCCATATATATATACACACACACACACACACAGACACACACCATACACACGTCATGTACAGCGTTAGAGAGAGAGAAAAGGCAGAATGAATATACTGTACACAACATTAAGTATACTAATAATGAACTATATCCTTAGATACTCTTTACATATTATAATTTTTTTAATCACTCTCATATTTGTACATTCTTTTTTAATCATTTTTAATCAGTTGCCGTTAATATCAGGAAAATAGCGTAACTGGCAATTTAAATGTTAAATGTCGGATTAAAAAGCAAATTTGAGAAAGAGAAAAATCTATTATTTCGCAAACAGCTCGCTTATTAGTCACAAATGTAATGAATAGTAATAAATAACGATTGTGAAATTACTCTTACCATTACCAATAATGGTTTACTACGAAATAGACGAAATTGTAAAAAAATTAGCATTAAAAGTTGCGAATCGAAACATTGAATGATCGAAGCGTGGCCAAACGCTTTCAAGTGCGTGCAGCGCAAGAAACATCTGATTCGAGAATTCGGTAGTGTCGAGGAAAAGACTTATCGTTCACATCAGTCGTAGGAATCAAGTCTTCGTACGAATTTTAATGGTATCCCCATGTGAAGCAGCTTGTCCGGTGAACTATCCTTCAAGTTCGGGTAATAATAATTCAACGCTTGCCAGCAGATCTCAGACAATTTGGGAATTGTTAGCCAAGCGGAGTGAACCGCATTTGTTCTCTGTACCTGTAACGATAAAGTTGTCGCGATTACAAATTGATGAAAGTACATTGAATGAAACACATTTGTGGAACATATCACGCCCCATTTATAGTGACAGTACGATAATAACCTTGTTGTTCATTTTGACTATACCACCGAATATATACATGCGACCCTCTGGAGTCAGCGCAGCCGAGTGAAAGTACACTGGGCAGGGTAGGATGCACTCTCTCAGGCGCGTCCACTGCAGCGTGCCGAGGTCAAGCCGCCAAACGTCGGAGAACACCCAGTCGCCGTTGTAACCGCCCGATATAACGACCGAGGTAACGCCGCTCTTCTCGTCCGTGTACTGAACGGAACCGTGACAACGTCGTGGTGCCGGCACCATGGTCTCTTCAGTATCACCGTGCGTGCTCAAAATCCTCCAACTGTTGGTCTTCAAATCGAACGCCGGTATTTCCTGAAAGAATTTATTATAAATGTATTTATTATATATATATATATATATACGTATATATATATATGTACTCAATACATTTTAATATAGCATATTAATATAATAACAATAATGTATATATTACATAAGAGTAGTTTGTACTTTTTAATAGAATCTTTATGGGTTTACTCACCGAAAAGCCATAAGATTCTGTCGAGGTGCCACCACCCAAAACATAAATCATCTTGCCGTCAAAAGCAAGCTCATGCCTGTACCTTCCGTGTGGCTCCGACTCGTCCTTGCCCGAGCAAATGTACACCACTTCCCAGACGCCTCTTCTTAAATCGAATCGGTGAATGTCGCAGGTATATTCATACCCAGTAGTACCACCGACCGTGTAGAGATAGGAACCGTGACATACTAATGCCTGCCCATAGAAATAAATAACAATAAATATATATATCTAAGCAACGGAAAGAAATAATAAATCGTCGATCTAGCGCTCACATATATCGACATTATAATCTTTAGTGTAACTGTATCCTAAAACAAAACAGTAAACCAGTCTTACAAGATGATTTTTATCATAAAAACTATATAGTGACATTCACATTTAGTTTTCGATTGATCCTTTTTTCCTATCGTTTTAATCTTGTCAAGATGGATAGCTTAATGTCAGAGCAATTATTTCTCATCAAGCAAAACCAA